CCGCGGGCGGCTCCGCGACGCGCAAGCTCGACGCCGCGCGCCACTACCGCGCGCTCGGGCTGCCGTCGACGGCGGGCACGCCGGACATCAAGAAGACGTACCGCGACCTCGCGCGGCGCCACCACCCGGACAAGCACCGGCGGCCCGACTCCGTCCGCAAGGCGTCCGCGACCATGCAGGCGCTCAACTCCGCGTACCAGGCGCTCAAGGACGGGCCGAACCGCCGCCAGTACCGCGCGGACGTCCTCGCGGGCCGCTCCGACTAAAGCACACAGGACTACTTCTTAGCGGCACGCGCCTTCTTCTTCGGCGCCGGCTTCGCCTCCGCGGCCGCGGCCGGCGCCGCGGCGCCGTTCTTCTTCTCCGTCTGCTTCGCCTCCGCCTCCGCGGCCGGCGCCGAGGCGCCGTCCTTCTCCGAGACGCCGTTCGCCGGCGCCTCCGCGGCGGCGGCCGCGGCGCGCGCCGCGCGGAGCTGGACCCGGAGCTCGGGGACCCGGAGCCCCTCGACGTCCAGGCCGCGGTCCAGGCACTCGGCGACGAGGTCCGCCTTGCGCATCTTCGACAGGGGCGCGGCCGCGGCGACCGTCGCCGCCAGGTCCCGCCGCGCGGCCTCGGCGTCCGCGACGGCGCCGTCGACCGCGACGTCCGCCGGCGCGTCGCGGCGCGCGTCTTCGAGGCTCCTGCGCAGCTCCGCCTCGGTGGCGCCCGCGCGCTCGAGGGCGTCCGTCGCGCGCTTCGCGGCGTCGGCGGCGGCGCGCTCCGCGGCCTCGACGCGCGCGCGCATAGCCGCCAAGACGCCGTCCGTGGCGTCGCGCTCCGCGGCGGCCGCGCTCGCCTTGCCCTCGGCGAGCTCGCGCTGGCGCGCGGCGTTGGCGGCCTCGTCGGCGAGCTTCGCCGCGGCGGCCTCGGCGTCGACGAGGCGCGTCTCGAGGGCCAGGGCCCTTTCTTTCGCCTCGGCGACGTCGGCGACCGTCGCGGTCTCGCGCGCGGCCGTCGCGGCCATCTCCCGCGCGGTCGCCTCGCAGCGCCG